AAATTAATGAACCTTACTCAGTTTGAAGTCTGAGAGCAACATCGTGTCTATTTCTTAAGTTCAATTTGTAATTTAAATTCTAATTGACCTACTACCATCTACAAAACCAAGTATCAAATAAAATGAGGGGAAAACACTATTAGATGTTGAGAATGTTATCTTTGAAAGGTAGGACAATGGCTTTTCAATATTGTGCTGCTATTTTAAAATCTTCTATTGACCTGTTTACAAAAGGTTTATTTATTTGAAAGGGAGAGCAAGAAAGTATATATATATATATACATATATATATATATTCTATATGTATATAGAATACATATATGAAATATATATATGTATACCATCCACTGGATTACTTCTAAAATGCCCACCACAGCCAGGGCTGAGTCATGCCGAAGCCAGGAGCCTGGCCTTGATCTCGGTTCCCTACTGAGTGGCAGGAACCCAAGTACTTGAGTCATTAACTTGCTGCCTCTCAGGGTACACATGAGCAGGAAGCTACATCCAAAGTGGAGGTGGAATTCAATCGCAGGCATTCCATTATGGGATGTTAGCCACCTCCAACAGTGGTTTAACCCACTATACCACAATGCCTAACCTCTCCCCCATTTTGAATAAAAGGCCTTTATCACTTTTAACATGAGCAAAGCACATCACGTTCTTACATAAAAATAAATGGGTAGCCAAATTTCATCTGCCATTGGTATGGGTGTCTTTATGGGTTCCATATGTTCTATAACTGTTCACTGCAATGGAAAATAAAGTGGTCTAAAGTAAATCACTGGTGGATAAGGCTGTTTCCTTCTTTATCTCTTCAGTAAGGGAGAGATTTTCTAAAGAGAATTTACATACCAAAACTGTCAACACTGAAACCTAATCATTTAGCACTCTGTGTGTAGGATGCCACTCCAAACATGGACAGATATTGTGGCGTTTCAAATAGTGGGCCTTGGTTTGTGTCTCTGAAGCTTGTTTGTGAACTCTCTATGTATTCTGGAAGTAATTTATGAATAAGGTCGTAGGCGCAAGTAACTACCTTGGAAAGAACAGAGGTGGGGGAGGGCAGGCCCTTCCTCTTTCTCTTCCCCTTACTCCCACCCCTAGGCCACCAGCCACATGTGTTATTAATTCTCTGTGGAGAAGGCTCACCCACTCTTAACAAAAGTGGGTCAACTTTTCTCACCCTTCCTAATAGGTTATTCAGCGATGTGACATGTATTAATTAACCTTATCCATTCAAAATTAATAGTTCAAAGGAAATGAGGGCATTGTTAATTCAAAATGCAAATGTATAAAGCTGTCCCGGATTGTGTAAAAATGGTAGCTTTATTATTTATCCAAGACTCTGAGACACTAGAGAGTTTAGAGATGTGGTCCTTTATCTTGAAGAACTTCAACTTGAAAAGGAAACATAGGGTGGACATTTGGCACAACAGTTAAGATTCCACTTGGGATGCCTGCATCTCTTATCAGAGTGCCTGGCTTCAAGTCCAGGCTCTGCTTCCAATTCTAGCTTCCTGTTAATGTGCACCCTGGGAGGCAGCAGGTGATGGCTCAAATACTTGGGTCTTTACCACCCACACTGGAGAGACAAACTGAGTTCCAGGCTCCTGGCTTTGGCCTGGCCCAGTCCCGGCTGTTGCAAGCATTTTGGGAGTAAACCAACAGATGGCAGATCATTCTGTGTCTGTGTCTGTGTCTCTCTGCCTTTCAAATAAATAAAAATAAACACATTTTTAAAATTTAAAAAGGAAACAGAAAATGAAGAAACAGAAAATCTGTCTGGAATGCTTAGCAATGTTTTAAAAAAATTGTCACAAAGTTTGAGTCAAATGATGAAACTTGCTGCCCATCTTTGTCAAGCTGGAAACTGGGCATTCTGCGGATATGAGAGAGTTTCAGAAAGTTCAAGGGAAAATGGGAGTTAAAAGATAAAGGGGGGAGTGGGTGTTTGCGAAGTGGTTAAGAGTGGGTACGTCCCACCTTGGACTGCTGGAGTTTAATACCCAGCTCTGCATCCTGGCTCCAGCTTCCTGCCTGTGCAGGCTCTGGGAGGCAGTGGCGATCACTGACGTAACTGGCTCCTTGCCGCCCATGTGGAAGACCTGGATTTAGTTTACAGCTCCTGTTGTCTTCATCTCTGGCCGAGCCCCAGCCATTATAGGCATTTGGAGCATGAACCAGTGAACTGGGAGCTCTCTCTTTTCTCTTGCTCAAATTAAAAAAAAATTTTTTTAAGCTAATGGGCATTTTCTATGAATATCTGAAACTCCTTTGAATGTCATTTAATCCTGAGGTGGTCAGCTTTTATCCTGATCGGAGAGGTGAGGGGGGAAGGGAAGGGGAGGGGAGGCAGAACAGAGGAGCTGGGACCCTTCTCGCTCTTTAGCAGAACATGCTGCTTAGGTCAGGGTGTCTGAGAAGTCCTTGCCAACGATGGCTTCTCATCACACGTTTTCAAACTCTGGGGTATATGTAACAATGGCAACTACTGCTATGGTCTCGGCACCGATCTAAACATTCTGTATATTTCATTTAAATAATTAAACGTTCCCTAGCCCACCACATGAAGTAGGTCTTTTTTATATTCCCACTCTACAGATGCAGAACCCAAGGTTTTAAAAGGATAAGAAGGGTTCATCATAGGTTCGGTACCTATTAAGCAGCAGGACTGGAATGCAAACTCCAGCTGGACGGCTCCAAAGGTCATCCTTTCAACCTCCATGCTGTGCTGTGCACTTCAGGAAGGCTCACAATGTACATTCTCACAGCATTCAGTAAGGATGCTGGCATTTCACACACGTACGACAAAGTTCACCAGGGCGTGTCTGCAGTGCCGCACGCTTTAGTGAAGGAGGTTTCTCACGGCTCGGTCATGAAGGCTGGGGAAATGCGCCGAGGATGGCTGTGCAATGGATCACTGCAAAGATCTGCTGCCTTGGGTGGCGGCTGCCTGGAGAGGGAGGCAGCCTTCCCTCCGCCTCTGTGCACCGAATAGCCTTTCCATAAAGGAAATTTTGAAGCGGGAAAATACAATCAACAACAACAACAACAAAAGCTAAAGAGAAGTCCCACGGGGGTTAGCTGCAGTGGCATGGCAACTCTGGGGCTTCTATGGGAATGTATGTGGTCAGCACCAGGACAGGAGGCCATCATGCCTGGGAAAGCCCCCGGCAGAAGGGAAGAGACCAGATGGGAGCACCTTGGAGAGTCTGCGGAACTATCACATTAAAAGACAGGGATGTGTTAATGCGAAGCACTTGGAATTCATGCACTTTTAAAACATAATATGCATTTCCACGAAGCTTTTGAAGAGTCTTTGCTGGTACAGAAAGAAGGAGAGCCTGGCAGTGAGGCCAAATTCCTTGTATTTCTCTGATTCTTTCAACTGCAGTTTATGGCTGCTGTGTTTGTCTGAAGCTACTCAAACAAACCCCACTTCCAACAGAGGAGAACTGTCTTACCCCTTTAAATGGTAAAATGCTTTCAAAAATTTTTTTAAACCACTTTTCTTCCAGGAAGCTGTCAAAATATGCAATTTCTAATTTTAAAGAAAAATAGGACTGAAATGTGTCAAGTCCCTGGAAACAGTCTGAAACCCAATTGAGTTTGTGCAGAAAAACACATACTGTAAACCCTAAGACCATCTGGCCACAGAGATCTTGGTTTCTCTGTCAACACCACTGGAACTTTGGAAGGGTCAGTCTTGTAATCACCAAACTGAAAATCAGCTAAGAGAACAGAAAAAAACAAAAAACACAAGTTTCAAAATAGTACATCCTAGTTCCTGTTGCACTGAACTTGGGCCCATGCCATCTGCTGACGGCAGCCCTGGACTCAGGCAGAGACTTGGACTAAGGACTCATCCTTGAGACAGGGAGTGAAAATCAAACATCAAGATCCACCAAGGGAGGTGGACACTTAAAGGGAACTTGAGGCAAGAGCGGTCTCTTTGTTTTGTGCGTGGATTGCTATAAAATAGGTGTATTCCAGCAGTAATGACAACCTTTCCGCATTGCTAAATTTGCAAGTGCTAACATTTTCTCGTTGGGCATTTGAAATATCTGACAGTCAAAACTGGATAAGGATGGAAAAGTGATAGAATCTGAACCTTCCCAGGAAGAGTCTTGATTCAGGCAAGCAGCGCAAATCAGATCTCTTGGTAGAACTTGAGACCAAGCTGACGGGATTTCAAATGAGAGGAGGGACTATCCTTTACAAAACTGAGACAAGCACAGGGTGGCAGCACGAGCATTTCCTGTGTCAGAAAATGTGACGATACACACCTGCAGTAAAAGTCAAGAGAGGCTTCCCATCATTTCAGAGTCTTGAAAACTATATGTATAATCTGAGTCTTTTAGCTAATGTCTTTTTTTTTTTTTTTTAATTTCAGAGACAGAGAGAGCAAGCAAGCACTCCCATCCACTGATTCACTCCCCAAATGCCTACAACAGGTAGAGTTGGACCAGGATGAAACCAGGAACTGGAAACTCAATCCGGGTCTCCCATGTGAGTGACAGGGACCCAACTACCCAACTACTGAAGCCATCACCTGCTGTCTCCCCCAGGAAGCTAGAATCAGGAGCAGAGCTGGGACTCGGACCCAGGTGGCACCTTAACCTCTGTGCCAATCATCCATCCCCCCAGGCAGTGTCCTGTATAAATATTCAATGGTTGACGTGTGCACCAGGTGACTTCCTGAAAGTCCTGTCTTCTGTGCCAGTGTCACGCTGGTGTTCAACACTCACCAGTCCCACTGCTTATGGAGAACTTGTGCCTGCAGTTTGGATGTAGGTGGGAGGATTACTGAGGGGTCTCATTTGGCACTTGAGGATGCCATGGAGGTGACAGGGAGGAGGCACGATTGGCCATGCCAGAAGGGGGCCCATGGAGGCAGAGGCTGGATAAACCCTCTGCAGTGAGAGACAAGGGCTGCACAGTGCCATCTGTTTGGCTGGTGTTCTCAGCAGGTGATGGTGATGGGGGAGGGGGTGAGTTACCTGAAATTTCTGGAAGTGTGGACTTGTCTTCTTCCCAGAAGTCCCCATCACAAACAGGAAGTCTGGGGTTAGCACAAATGGCACTCTCTCTTTATTAATGCCCAGGAAACTTTTGTAGTTCCCAAGAATGTGCCCGAAGTCGATATGGAATAGGTTTCCTTGAGAGAAGAAAATGTTTGACATCACTGCACTGGCATCAGCACTTGTCATCACCCTCTGTTTCTTGACATGGTTTTTAAGTTTCCTGAAAATGAGCTATCTTGGGTGACGGAGCACTTTTCACACTATCTTATTAGCTTGTCATATTTTCCATCTTCGCAGGTGTGTGAAAGTAGTAGCCGCAAAGCATTCTTTGAAGCGAGCATGTTTTCATTGTCCCTCTGCTGCTCTTCGTATGACAGCCAGGGGTCCATAGGAAATTCCTGCCTCAGATTTATTCTTAGCAACATAAATGACAACTCTCTAGCATCATGCCGAAGACTCTGTTATGCCCACTCTGCCACTCGGGGTAGACGGATGCCAAACTCTGTGTGGGGGACGAGCACTCGCCTTTTGCTTTTGAGTAGCACAATAGAAATGAATCACTTTCAGTCTCCCTTGGGTGAATTTCCACCGCCACCACCACAGTCACCGTCATCTCTTCTCATTTGTTTAGACCTTGAACACTTCCATACCCCACAAATGTATTCTCTCTCTTGATTTTCACAAGGAGTAAATCATTGATGGCAAATCTGGCTTTTGCCAGACTCTACTCTTAAATTGGTTTAAATTTCATAAAGAAAAATCTGATTGTGTGGTGGTCATTGCTGACCACTGTTGGAGTGGGCAGCGACCCAGTGAGGGGGAAGTGGGGAACAACATTTCAGATCTAGGGATACCTACGAGTTCTTCTGTTGCTTCCGGGCAACACTGGACCCTGTTCTGTCAACACTCCTACCTTCATCAGCTTCTGGGATATGGCACCATCATGTCTGGCTCTCTCCCTAACTTTTCCTTCCTAAGTTTCCGTTCCTGTGCCTTCTTCCCTTTCTCACTCCTTGGCCAGCCCTCAAGGTGGGTGGTCTCTGTAGGGTGACCTCAGCCTGGCATCCCTATGCAACAATGACTTCTAAAACACATGCTCCGGCCTTGAGCTCCATGCAAAAATTACTGTGTTCTGGGAGGAGGAGGAATGGGGAGTTTGTGTTTAATGGAGACAGAGTTTCAGCGGGGGAAGATGGGTATGGGTGATGGTTATACACAACGTGAACATACTTGATGTCACTCACTGAGTTGTCCACTTAAAAATGGTAAATTTTATGCTATTTATATTTGAACCCTCCCCTAAATTATTTTTCAGTAAATAAACTCACCTGTCTCGGAGATCATAATATTGTCGTTGTGTCTGTCACCTATTCCAAGAACAAAGGTTGCCACACAGTAGCCTGCACAGGAATAAACAAATCTCTCCACTGCTGCCTGAAACTAATCAAAATGCATCAGAATATTAATAGTCTTCTAACTGCAAAGAGCAGCATGAATCTATTAGAAATGCCTTCCAAAAAGACACATTCTCGGGACCGTTTTCAGAGAGCAAGTGAGTGGTGCCGGATTTCATCAGTGTTACATCCACTAAGTGCAGCTTTCCCATGGTCCTGCTTCTATTTGAGGGGATGCCTCAATGAATGAACCACAACAGCATGAGGAGGAAACAAGAGTCAAAAGGGCAACCGTAATTTAACCAAAGGGTTCGCTTCCTCTCCACGCATCATCTGCCAACCACTGCACAGAACCTGTAGTGATTTCTCCTTCCCTTGTGAACATGTGTTTTGTTTGGGACTACTTGGGAGCATGCCTGGGTTCACAAATCCACATGTGTAACAGATTAATAAGTGCTACTAATTATATCCCCCCACCCCGACCCCCAGAAGGCTGCTAACCATGCAAAATGAGCAGGGCTAATCTCGTGTGGCGGGATTTAAACGACAGCCCAACAGCCCAACCACACGGCTTGTGAAGGATTCAACAGATGCTCTTCAGAGGCATGGTGGCACTGACATTTTCAGCATCCATAATTTGCCATTTAGATTAGGGTATAGTTGTAAATTATAAATTACTTTATTGGTACGTGGTACTTCCAAGGTAGGAAATAATTTTTTTGCAAGGCAGAGATAGAGAGAGACAGAGAGAGACAGAGGGGGTGGAGATAGGGAGATAGAGAGAGGTCCCATCTATTGTTTTACTCTCCAATGCCTGTAATAGCTGGGGTTGGGCCAGACTGAAGTCGGGAGGTGGGAACTGAACCCCGAACTCCCCCATGGGTGGCAGGAACCCAGTCACTGGAGCCACTGCTGCTACTTCCCAGGGTCTGCATTAACAGGAAGCTGGAGTCAGGAGCCAGAGCCAGGAATGGAACAGAGACGCTCCCAGGGGAAATCTTAAGCACTAGGCTGAATGCCTGCCCCAGGAGAGAATGTATACATGGTAACTGAATATTTCTGCTGAACAGCAAAAATAGAGAGCCGGAAAAAGTGCTACCGGACTGTTTTACAGAAACCAAATTTTATGCAAAGCATGTCTGGTAATCAAAGGAATAGCAAATGCTCAGGCAGTCTGGAACCCAGTGCCTCTGTCTTACAGATATGCTCTGCTGCCCCGGGGAAGCCCTGAAAACCCTCACCAATGGGTCAGCAGGCAACCTTAGGCACTGAAACACTCCCGCCGCATGAGTGACAGTTTTCTAAGGAGCCTCTCTGGTGGGGCAGACGTAGGCACTCACCTTGTCCTCAATCGGGCATTTTTCCTTGAGCCAGTGGTTCAAGACTTCATCCTTAAAGGCGCCCGTGTTGCCCACGGTGCTTTGCTGAATTTTGGCAATGGTCGTGGCGTCTTTCACGATCTCGATCATTCCTGCGTGAGGATGCACAGGGTTTTGGTAGAGACTGGGGCCTGGTGCCCAGCCCAGGCTAAGTCTGTTGAGTGGTGGCCAGAGGTTTTCTTTTTTAAAGAGAGGGTTATTTTCCATGTCTCTACTGTTGGTTTTCTTAGCAGGAAGAGAAAAGAAAGGAGGAGGATATGGCAGCTGTGTGGGATATGTTTTCAATGTCCCTGAGTGAGAAGAAGACAGGACAGGTTCTGAACAGTAGCAAGTAGGCATGTAGGTGCTGAACATAACGTTCCTTACCTGGGCACCTGTATCTCGCCTTTTTTAAACTGCAGGGTCAAACGTAAATGGTTTTGTACACTTCTCAAGTCAGAAACTTGAACAAAAATATGTTTGATTGAAACGAAAATGCTAAATACCTATAAAAGTACCTAACGGTGGAGTGTATAATAGCTTTGATAATATGAATTATGGAATTTTAGACCCTTCCATCTATTTTTAAATGTTATTTGTGAGAGAAAAGTTTAATGTGTAATGGAATGATCTAAAGTTTAGAGGTGCAGCAGTAAAGGAACATCTTCATACTAAAATCATTTCCATGGCGAGTCACAAGGACTTGAACTCATGCATTCACAGATTTTCACTGCATCCATATTCAATGGAGAGTCACATCACCAGCCTGGGAACATTATCCTCCTTCTTATATGGATGATGATGATAACATTTAGTCATTAAACACCCGCAGTGAAGGAATTATGATCTTTCACCACTGGCTGAGTGGAACGCTTACCTCCTGAGGTCACCACATACCTATTTTGTCACCAGTTGAAATGCAACCATATGGCAAGAGGCACAGATCCAAAGATTCTGTTTCCCAGATGGACTCCATGATTCGTAGAATCTGGACATCAAAACACGGAAACATTTCTATTAGAAGTAAGCCATTTTCTCCTCTAAAAAAGCACCAATCTTGGGGCCAGTGTTGTGGTGCAGCAGGTTAAGCTGCTGCCTCTGCCACCAGCTTCCCTTTTTGGAGCACTGGTTCGGGTTCAGTTGCTCAGCTCCCTACTAATAATGTTCCTGTGAAGGCAGCAGAAAATGTCCCAAATCTCTGGGCCCCTGCCACCCATGTGGGGGACCTGGATGGAGTTCTGGACTCCTGGCTTAAGCCTGCACCAGCCCTGGCCATTGTGGCCATTTGGGGAATGAACCAGCGGATGGAAGATCTCTCTTTCTCTGTGCTTCTCTTTCTCTCAGTCATTCTGCCTTTCAAGCAAATAAATACATAAATCTTAAAAAAAATCTTACTTGGTAACACAAAACAACGTGAGCAAATACCACAACTAACAACTGTGTTTTCATTGGTCAGCCTGATACCCTACAGTCTCCTTTTCCTGCAAGCCCGTCAAATTCAGTCCCTAAATCATACAGTACCTGTTCAAAACGCTCCACTCTAATTACATGTAATTACCATAAGAGCCCTAACATCCTTACACGTATTTACTACTTGGACTACTGTAAGGCACTCGTAGGCTAACACCAAAGCATCAGTAACGAAGGACAGAGAACATTCGCCAGGGGCTGTGTTAGGTGCAGTTCTCACATTAACCACACGCACTGGATACGCTTATTACCCCAGCTCGGCAGGTGAAGGAACAAAGGCTTACAGAGTTCAAATTAGCTGCCCTTTGCTGCCAAACCCTGTGCCTCAGGAATAGAAGTACAAGAATGGAGGATGCAAACTCTCCTTACAACTCTGTGCCTCAGGAATAAAACAAAGTACAACAGCGATTTTTGTGTTTTTGAAATGCTCACCTTTAAGCAATTCAAAAGAGTCTACAGATTTATTTGAATTTTAATACATTTTCAAAGGCCCAAAAGATATCTTTTTCTTTTCTTTTAAAAAATACTCCCTGGGTAATACACATTCCATTCTTGAAGAGAAGGCAAAGGGTATTATTGTTTCCATAAGAGAAATAAGTAAAAACAGAAACTTAGAGATAGTTGAAAACATGACCAATTTTTAAATAGGCTATCTTTAAATCAATGTAGCTTGTCTAGTTGTTAATTTGAAAGGCAGACAGAGAGAAAGTTCCAAGCATTGGTTCACTCCCCAGATGCTTGTAATAGCTAGGGCTTGGGCCAGGCCAAATCCAGCAGCCTGGAACTGCATCCAGATCTCCCGTGTATACTTCCTAGGGTATACACGGTTTGTCTGTTGTAAGTAAATCATATTACATATGAGAAATTGTTAACTTTACAGTGTTAAACAACTAGAATCTGAAGAATATCACCTTAGATTTGCTAAAGCTAAAATTTAAACAAAAATATTAGAAAATATGGAAATGATTAGCATGGATACTTTTATCATTCACCTTCTTCTCTAATAGGCTCACTTATCACTTACTGCACCTGCTCACCTTCTCTCTATCCCATCAAACCACTCTCCTGAGTCTGTATGTTTATCAGAGATACATCTATGCACTGAGACTGTAGGTGTGTAGATACATTTATGAACAGGGCTAAAAGGGTAAATATGGCTACATTCCATGGTACCAAACTTAGGATGGGGTATGTAAGAGGTTAGGGAGGGGAGTACACTGGCTACATGGAAATGTTGGAAGCGCATCTTTGAAGGAGTGGACAGCAGTTCGGTGCCCATTAATTAGACTGCAAGTCTCATGGTCCAGAGCCACGTTCCCAAAGCCACAACCCCCCATTAGGGCTTCTCTGGTCACTGTTCATCATATGCAGAGAACACACTTCAGATCTAATACAGCAATCTTTCTTCAGATAATCCAAACAAATTCCCTGACATCAGCATACCTGTAAAATAAGCATGTCTTGGCGTAGATCGTCACCATGTTTAAAGATAATTCCAATGGTCTCCTTTGAAAGGGCTGTAGGATCGGCACATTTAAACTCGAGCCACAGGGGCTTTTTCTTGGAGGCCATCACTTTACATTTCTCAATCTGTAAGGAAGCAGTCATGTGTTTCCCACAAGCAATGGATCCACATTGTGGCGATGCAAATTCTCTTGCAAAGCATCAGCATAAACAACCAGGAAAAAAAATCCTTAGTTGAAAAATTATTTTCAATATTTGAGTAAAAACACAGATCTTCTCATAAATCTGGAAATGCTATGTGAGAGTAAACTCACTACAACTGGTGGTTCCCAAACTGTGCTCCAGGGAACCCCAAAAGGTCTATGGAGGTGCCTGAGGGGTACAGCAAATCCTATCCCCCTTGTCCCACTCCCATAGGATATTGGCATGCTTATAATCTATTTATTTTCAGTTTCACTGTTATCTGTTTATATATTCAGCATCTCCAAAATCTCACTTGACAAAAATTTTAGTGCTATCACCATGTCTAAAAAATGCTTACTGCAGAATCAGGTGCGATAGGCCAAATATAGCAAGATGAGATTTGATAGAAATAAATAGAAAGCCCGTTCCTGTGGTTTGACACTTTCACTCTGCCATTCTCTATACCCTCTGCCCCTCAAAACCCCTCCATACATCTAAAAGAAATTCAAAGTAGAAGAAATGTAGCTAAGCAGTTAGTTACCGACTTAAAAAAAACAACTTAGGAGTTTTAGTCAAAGGTGAATTCAACGTGAATCAAAATGTAATAAGGTCTAAAAGCAGAAGCACACACATTTTGAAGCTGCACTAATATTTTGTATTTTTACTAATCTCTAAAGAAAGGGCAGGATGTTTTTGTTACAGGGCCAGTTTAGTACTAACTGTACATAAAATTAAACACGTATGAGAGGAATTCTCACTTCCTTCCATGAGGCCCCACTGCCACAGGAGTTGCTGCCCTGCTATAAACAACTGGAAAACTAGACAAAATACACGCAACAACTCTTTTCAGACACTGGAAAATAGTCACGTTAGGTCTATAACCTCTGAGAAAATGCAAACAAATGAAATGAGCCCAGTGGTTGTCCCCGTGTATTGCTGGGGGCTGTCTCTAGGCTGCAACATAGACAAGGGGGCTCTGGACTGAATGGTCCAGCAGCCTAAAATAGAGTTCCTGAAGCCTCAGAAGGAGAGGAGAGAGAAGAGGGGACAGAAAAAGTATTGGCTGAAAAGTCCGCAAATCTGAAAGATTATAAACCAACAAATCTAAGCTCAATAAAGCAGAATACACATAAAGAAATCCCTATCAAAGTGCATCATCATCAAATTGCTAAAAAACAGTGATAAATGAAAATCTTAAAAGCAGCTTGGGCAAAAAAAAAGACACACACACATACACAGAGAGAATCAAATATAATGACAGGAGACTTATTACCAGAAAATATGCATGCCAGGAGAAAATGCTATTGAAAGAAAAAGATTAAAAGTCAGTGTAGAAGTCTACATTCAGGGAAAGTAGTTTTCAGAATAAAGGTGGAATAAAGAGCATTTCAGATGAACAAAAGCTAAAGAATTTATTGCTAGCAGACCAGCAATATAGGGGAAGTTACCTGGTATTAATCACTAGTAGCTAGTGATTAAAGCAGGGCTCCATAGAGGCCCACCCAGGGACTCTCCAGGATCCCTGTCTCTGTAGAAATGCTATCTGTCTAGCACTGGGCCCAAGAAAGCATGTAAGACATCGTTAAGACATTTGGACCGCATGGAGACATCTGAGTGATACCTACCACCAGTGTTCCTGCTTTCAATCCAGGGTCGTATGGAACTCTAAAACTCGTCGGGAGGTTAGAATTTTGTAGATTTTCAAGTTTTTGCTTAAGCTGTAGAATAACTGTAATTGTCAAAAGTGCACAAGAATTATGTCAGTCCAAGAAATTCTTAATATTATCTAAAGCATTTCCTGATGTCATACTACTTCACAGCCTTCTATGCTTGGGAAGGGGTGGAGCTGTAGAAGAGGGGGTAGGACCCTGCCTTTGAGGAACTAACCGTTTGAGGTGGCGAGATAACTCAGGCTTGCTATGAGCAATGTAACCACCTCCACACCCTTCAGTGGGGGACGGAAATAGGTGAATATTCGAGTAGGAGGGAGGGCACACAGAGGCCAATAGAGTCAGGTAGACAGCATGGGCATTTGCAGCAGATGGGAGCGCTGTCTCTGTGCGTATCTCTCTGCCTCTCAGATTTTTGTTTTTTAAATTCAGAGTTTAAAATACTGAGTACATTAGTAAGTGTTCGTAGGAATCAGAGAACTCACTATATAAAATCAATATGAATTACCCTCCCTGGCTTCAATGTCTGTGGAGTTTACAAGTCCAGACCAACGTGTTAATGATGATCGTCTAATACAGTATCACCCCAAGCCCCTGGGAACACAGGGAAAGAATGAGTCATTTTCCTAGGGCACGGACAGAATTTCTTAGGGTAGGGAAAGAGAATATTGCAAATGGCTTCAGAAAGCAAGCAGTGTGTGTGTGTGTATAAAGATGCTTATTTATATCTATCTCTATATATTACTCTGGGATACAGAGATACAAATGTATAAATAAATGCATACATTGAAATAGGCTCTCAATAATTCATTAGTTTAAAAGGCTGAAAATTTTAAAATTATATGCACATATTTAAAGGCAGGGAGAAAAAGGTAAAGATTTAGAAATAATTAATCTGTGTGTGTGTATACAACCGTTCTTAAATATCTTACATCTGCAAAGACCTTTTTAATTTTTAAGAACATGCTAATATATATAGTTTTAAAAAATTATTAAGGTGTAAAAAGGAGAACTTTAAATTTGCTTACTCCATGCAGATAGAAGACTAAAATAATGTGTTCTTGGCTGTACTTAGGAAGATGCAATTTGGCTTCCAGAAAGAAGAATCAGAGCGATGATGGCATTTGGAGACAAAGGCATTTGGAAAGAGAACCAAGAAAATATAGCCGTTGTACCTTGGGAACTGACGTCATACTTTTCAGCAGAGAGTGATTTAATGTCAATGGTGACTTTTTGTAACATCTCGATTACAAGGACTTGTTGGGTCAAGTCGTGCAGCATGGCTGTGCCACAGCCCCTCAGATAGGCTTCCAGGATCACGGCGAACCTCTGCTGATAGTGTCTGGACTGGGCTATCTCACTTCTCAAGAACCAAAACAAGAAGTGACCAATTCTTTTGTTCTGAAGGCGAGTACAAGAAGGTCGAAATTATGACTAATGGTCTAGGTCTACCAGTCATTTCGTGCTAGCCTGAAATGTCATGCTATTATCAAAGTGGAAGGACTTACCCTTAAACCACGCTTCAGCAGAAATCTGGCCAGGGCACTGTCATGGTATGGTTCAAATTTCACGGCCTAAAGGAAGCACATGTTGGCATTTGTAGGACTGCACTTGGTGTTGGCGAATCAGGAAGCAGGGATGGAGATGAGCTGGTGCTATGCTCCAGGGGGTCTTTATGGCTAGGGTGATGGGGCTCTCGGCACTCACATTAAGTTCTTTCTCTTAGGGGCCCCTTAGGACCACCGTGAACCAGCTGCTTAGGAGCCTAAAGTAGCTGATGACTGAACTAAGATTAGAGGCCAGAACTCTTGACTCTCACTCACGTGTTTTTCATAACTTCAAAGGTGAAGAGGCAAGGATATCTGCTCCAATTAAGGGCTGGCTTGATTTACTGGAAGGGTGAGAGGGGAAGGAGAGCAACGGCTACCACAAATGTAGCAAATGGGAGGCAAGAGAAGTTGTGAGAAATAGACAACAGAGATGCAATCTACATAAAGAAAAAAAATGTATGAGATGTGAAGATCCTAAAGCTTCCCCTTTTGTTGTCTCACTGGCAAGTTCCTTAGCTGTCTTACAGGTTCTTACTTCAAGTAAACAGGCCTGGAGGAATCCACACAGAGTAGTAACTACCCACTGTGTCCCCATGGTATGCTCACAGCTTTCTGTCAGAAAATTCCTGATTTTACACGCGTCCTCTGGTAGAAACTGAGTTTCATTTCGAGTGTTTAGTAGTTTTCACATCATTTGGCTAATGTAAAAAATACTGACTTAGCTGACAGCTCCATTACCAAAGAAAGAGAACCAATGAAATCTTGGAGGTGTGTGTGGACATGTTTCATTTATTCTCTTACTTTTTGGTATCTGAAAGAGTTTGTACTTTTAAAAGCAGTAAGACTAATAAGTATTGTTTAATTATAGATGTATATATAAAACTAGAGGGTGGGTATCATGTATAAATAGAAAGAGAGGGTTAAAAACAAGTATCTCCTACTATTTCCATTACAAATAGAAATGGAAAATTCCCACTCTAGTTTATACTGAGGGCTTCTCAATTTGATTTACAACTCTTACTCTGTTTTTCAGGGTGGAAATGACCAATATTGACTTCATAATGTTTCAGTTATACCACTGTTTTCAAAAATACTCTTCATGGGTGTGGTCAAATGGGTGGCATAGTAGTTGCATGCGAGGCCTTAACTGTGAGAATGTGGCTACTCAGCCAACAGTACTCCACTCTAGAACTATTTGAATCTTCTAAGCTGAACGTGAGTCTTTTTGACCTTGGTGTTTCACTTCTCTAAAGACAATGCAGATCTCAACTAGGAGACCATTTTAATCAGGAATGAGTCATCTCAGAACCTGTCTCAAATAGTTTTGCAAATGACTACTCTTCTTCAAATTTAAGACCACAAATTCAATGTTAATATATCCTATTGATATCTTTCACTTAAAACATTTTCTAATTCTGCAAGGTTCACTTGTGAAAATGGCAAGGAAAACTAATTTATAGTAGCACTGGGATTCGGAAAAGAGCTTGCACAAATTTGTTTTATGTTGTTTTTGTTACTGAGAGGCAGAAAACTGAAGATCCTTCAATTCTTCTAAACATTTTTAGTGTCATGCCAGTACCTGAACTAAACATGTCTGATATATTCAGCAGGTGAAAGCAAAGGTCAAATTTAACATTTCAAGTTTTGGACTAGAGGAAAGGTGACGATTCAGAGTTCAAAGTTGAGACTACTCAAAATGCTTATCAGAAAACTCTAGGGCCTTCCAGTATGGGATAGTGATTAGACAGTTTCTCATCTAGAATTTAGTGTGGCTGATCCTAAAGATCTCAGGTAGAACATCACCTACTCAGGACCATCCCTGAGTCCCTTTGGTCATAATATTCTATAGTTTACTCCAAAGCATTTGTTACAATTTATTAGCCATCTGTTTGTGTGTGTGCTCATTGTCAGCCTTTTCAATACATGCTGTGGAATTAGTGAATGAACAGCTCTGGGCTCTAAAATAACATTTCTCTTCTAATGCCTTTACTTCCTTTTCCTTATCAAGGGGTACAATGTAATCTGAGAAACTGCTATTCTGAGCAGGAAAACTGTTTCTCCTCCTTTCTTTAACTTCCTACCTAACCTTAGGTGAAACAAACACTTAGTCTCTCAGGCCCCCAGGAATGTGGTGAGAATCAGATGGAAATACAGTCCTTTCTGAAGAGTGGAGCTTGCAACGTTTGACTCTCACAAAACAAACTATTAGGAAAGTCTTTTCTCTCCAGTGTGCACTCTCCTGACCCTAGACGGGTGCAGCAGGGCAGTCACAAGGGCAGGGCCTGGAGTCAGGCCTCCTCAGGTTGAATTCTGATTGGCTTCTATCAAAGTACGCGGCCTTAGGGACATAACCTGGTGTCCCTGTGCCTCAGTTTTCTCATGTATAAAATGCAAGTGCTAATTTGACCTCTATCATACTCATCCTGAGAATGAGATAATACACAAAATCATGAAATCACTTGGAGCCTTGGCACAAGAAAGGGCTTAGTAAGTCAAATTATCATTAAAACAATAAATGAGAACACAGTATTCCCACGGGAACACCCCACCCCCCACCACCTACCAAGCAAGGTATAGTTCTAATGTCTTCAAATGCTTGTAGGTAAGCCCTCAAGACAGAGAAAAAGTAGACAGATCAGTTTACTCTACCGTGAGCTGGCCTCCTCAGATCTACTCTGACCCTGAAGCTCCAGACAAAGGGCATTTGGTGACAACTGAGTGAGGTGCCTGTGCACACGCAAACAAGGGGAGAGTTCTGTTGATGACAGCCACATCCCCTACCTGGACCAGCTGCAGAAGGTAATGCAAGACATCATCATCTTCTAAGCTCTCCAGTTTCTGAACTGCAATGGCTCTTACATTCTCATCCGAAAAGTTGCAGTCCAGGAGTTGCATTGTTAACCCCACATCCAAAGCACTTTGATCCCAGACCTCCCGTCGGGCTAACAACTGGTATGTTTTGGCCACAGTTTCTTGCTGTCCCCATTTCACCGAGCTAAACAGCTTAGGATACGCTTTCGGATGCTTAAGGGTCTCGTATCTAAAATGCCACAGCAGCTCTTTGTCTTCTGCTGTGAGCGGGTTAAGTGGATCCGTGGCTATGATTGCTTCCAGCTGCTTGCGAAGCTGGTTGGGCATTTCGGCTCGTACCCGGTCCCCTTCAGGGTCAGGGGTGGGTCGATGCTTAGGCAAAGCTATTGGGTGGCAGTAATTGTCCAGAAGAATGGAGATGGACATGGCGTTCTCCTTGTCGGGGTTGGTTGCAGACGTGAGCTTGTCAGCATTGAAGCTCCCCTGGTCTTCTCCCTTGCCCGATATCTGCCACATGTGGAGCACGTACTCGCCGTGGCGCAGGAGGAAGCGATGATCTATCAGCAGCAGGTTCACGTAATAGAGCAGCTGAGCCTTGCCCCTGGACTCTGCACCGGGAGTGTCGGCAGAGGCCTTGCCCGACAGCGCGGGCGCCTTGCCGCAGTAGATCTGCAGGTTCAGAAGCGCGCCCTTGGGCAAGTCCTTGATTTTGATACTGAACTCCAGCCACACATTCCAGAGCACCTCCTCCGTGAAGGGCTTGGCGCTGGTTCTCCTTTGGCAAAGCACTTGCTGCCCGTGCTGGATGTTTGCCTCCACGAAAACCGTGAGGTCGGCGTTCCGCGGCAGGACCGGGATATCGATCCCTCTGACCTTGACCCTGAACTTCCGGTCACAGTCCCACAGCGACACAGTGAACACGCTCTCATGGTCCTTGCCGTGGATGGTCAGCTGCTCGTGGTAGCCGGTGACTCCCGTGCAGTCATCCACCAGGGGCCACTCTTCCTTCCTCACCTCGTCCAGGGCTGGGTCCGGGGGCGCGTCGAGCACTAGGTGAATCTCCTCTCCATTTTTCAGGCACTGCCTCACCCACTGGAAATTTCTGATGGGCGTTTCACCCACCAGGTACTCATCCCGGCCGCAGACGCGCAGCACAAAATCCTGTTCGCTTTGGCTCTCCGGGATGTCCATCAGGGACTTCTTCTTGGCCATCTTGGTGAAGAAGCTATGGAGGATGTTGCCAGGCGTGTCGTCGGCCGAGACCTTGATGGTCTGGCTGGTGGTGCTGCGGTGGATGACGATGAAGATGCAGTTGTTGGTAATCTTCCTCGCTAGGTACTCCGGCAGGGGCTTGGACGTCACCCAGGGGTGCATGGCGTACAGCCGGGGGTCGCGGCTGGCCACTTCCGCCATGCGTGGAGTCAGCAGGCGCCGGCGCGTGAACTCCAGCTCGTCGTCGTGCACGTTGCTGACGTCAGTCACATCATAGCCAATCAGGGCGGTGAGCTGCCGCTGAAAGGCCAGCGTCTCCTCAGAGGGCGCGTGCCGCTGGACTACGTGGATCTGGCCCGGGCTCCTGTGCAGCAGCTTCCAGTAGCGCAGGCAGTCCAGCGTCTGCACCACCTGGTACTTGTCGTAGATCTCGTACCACTGCCCCTTTTTCTGGTAGAGCAGGAGGAAGTGGTCCGGGCCCAGCCGGTGGTAGAAGTCTGCGGCCACGCTCGTCTCCAGCGCGCGCAGCCACACCTGGCCCTTCATCTGCTCCACGTTGCCGTGGCCCGCCACGTGCAGCAGCGCCGTCTCCGGCGTCTTGCTGTCGCGCTGGCTGGTGGGCAGCACGAACTCGATGGGGATGAGCTCCATGGAGGACAGGCTGGCCGCGGGGCTGCGCGGCTTCATCCTCCGGCGCCGGCGCCCGTGGTCCTCTCTCAGAACCACGGGCTGTTCAGAGCTCTCCAGCTCCATGCCCCGCGCGACCTGGGAGCGGGGAAAACAAGAGGACCTTGTCACCAGGAAGGCGCTTTCCCGTTTACGAGGCGGCACAAGGGGGCTGTGGAAGACGGACGAGGACCCGGAGCGACCAAGTGCTTCAAGCTGGCGGCATGGGCCCGGGAATCCTGGCCCTGCCACTCATCAGCTGGGCGACTTGGGCTGCTCGGGTGATCCGCGAACCTGCGTCTCATCGTCAGATGGGTAACACCGTGGACGTAAGAGCTAACTAATACATTCGTTTATGTGCGCAATTGGTGTTTAGAGGTTCGCTGATCATTCTATTTTTCTGTGTATTTGAAAAATTTAATTAAAAAGATGCATAAGGCTCATGTAGCACTGTGCCTGACATAATGGCTCAAAACGGTGCGTGTTGCTCTAAGCCTACGGAAACACAGAGATGAATAAAGTAACAGGGCTAAGGATCGAGTCCTGGCTTTGCCAACAGAACTTTAATATTTCTCCTCTTCTGTCTCACACATCTTGCGACCCAGACGGTTCACCCAACGTCCCTTCACTTTGTCTATTTCCAGACTGTCTGGGCCTTGGGATCTGTTCCCTTGTCAACTTCCTATATTTCTCTTTTCATTCCCCCCACCCTCTAATTAGGAAAGCTAGTGATTTCATTCATACAACTAAAGAAAAAACAATCAGAAAAGTGGCAGTCCAGACCATTTGCAGACAGAAAATTTTTAATCATGAAATAACGGTCATTGCTATATTAAGGACAGTTCCTTAGAGGAGAAGACCTCCAAGGCTGGACACTCCCAATATAAGCATTTAGGTCATTTTAACTTGCTGTCAGTTCATTTAATCGGCCTTTGGTTTACATAGTGGAGGAGAGAGCCACAAGATGGAAGGCAGAATTTCTGGACTCCAGTGGCCTGCTATTTAGACCTCAGTCAGTTATTTAATTTCTTTTTTTTTTTTTCGTGCTCTGATATTTTCATTTCTACTAACAAGAATTCACAGTTTTATTCTCATTAACTTACTCTTTCCATAAACATTCAGTAAGTACTTGCCATCCACAAAGCCTGTAAGTAATGTGACATACTGCAGTAAGAAAGCTTCAGGTAATGATTGAAATGCTGAAAGTATTAAAATTGAAAGTTGAATATATAATAAGGCATTTTGATTTTACTATTTAGTCTGTTACATTGTGATACACTATATTCCGAATAAGAACTAACAATTGAAACAAAATCAGTAAATGAAAATGTCATTTCTTTCCTAAATGACTAATGTTAGTGAGACTCACAACTATTTTGCTTCCTTAAGAAATAGTGGAACATTTGATACAGACTGAAGAGGCAAGTTTGATTAAGATAAGAAAGTCAAGTTTCAAACTTATGTCCAAATCTTGGCATAGCTTACTTTTTTAAAGTCAACATTCCCTCTTTTAAAACATTGTGAAGTCATACTTAGTAAGTAAATGAAACCAGTTGTTCCAAAGTACTGTCTCTTGTAACTTAAAATACTCATTTTGGTCTTTGGCTAAGTTACACAATAACTGACAAAGAGAATTGTAAGATACGTTAATATTGACAGGAACTTGAAATAAAACATGACTAAATTTAGGCAACGTACAAATACACAAAAGTAACTCCTTCCACAGTGATAGAAGGCATGCTATATAAGATGCAGAAGAAAACAGGCTGACCAGATACTCACTGATTCCCTTCATGGCTGAGGCTATGAAGGTTTCTCCTTTATGAGAAGACGTTAGAAACGCTGTAAGTACAGTAATCGCTAAGCATACACTGTAAGAATATGAAGCCTGGCTGGCATGGGCTCCATGGCCCTCCCCCTTCCTCCCAAACAAAAACAAAAAAGAACTAATGCACCTGCAGAACTATTGCCGGAACCTTGTGGATATCCAAAAGCTAGGTTGGACTAGACAATGAAATACGGGCGTTCAGTGGTGGTATCATCTCAAGAACCCACAGCAGTCCCGGATAAAAATATTCTAGCCCAGAAGGAAGTGTAACTATTCCAAGTCAGACCCAACAAAGAGCAAAAAATAGAAAGAAGCAATACCTGATAAAGCAGCGGAGGCGATGATGCTGAAGGGTCATTTGTTTAATTTTTGAAAGCAAAACAAATTCAGACCTGCCCAGTGTGCCTCTAAACTCTTCCGCTTTTCTGGGGCTCCCTTCATATCCAGATGCAGAGGAAGTGTTGTAGTTACCAGGAAGGAAGTTTTAACCAAGTTGATTATACGTGTGATTGCTCATTTTAAAAGTGTCAGAAATGCATTTCCTGTTACAGCACACAGAGAGGGAGAGCCCGAACACTAGCACTGTTTGCCGTCTTGTCTTTTACTCTTCGAACTAATTTTTCAAAAACTGTGAGACTAAGACAAATGCAAAAGATCCACACCAAAAATACACATCAGGAGGCATAAACAAATGAAATATTTTCGTGTTAGTTCTAAGTAGAAGAAAAGGCCTGATAGACAACAATAGACAACCTTTCTAGTTAGGGAGACTTTTAAAAAAAATTATTTGAAAGGCACAGCAAGAGAGAGATGGACAGAGAACGAGCTCCTGTCTCACACCTCAAATGCCTGCACTAGCTGGAAGTGAGCCTGGCTGAAGCCAGGAGCCCAGAACTCGATTCAGGTCTCCCACTTGAATGGCAGGAACCCCATCACTTGAGCCATCACCCCAGGAAGCTAGAGCCAGGAGCCAGAACTGGGTATCAAAATCAGGTATTACAATATGGGATACAGGCATCCCAACCAGCATCTTAACTGCTAGGCCAAACCCCCACTCCAGGATGACTTTTAAGGGCTAAATGAAATCCATCCCCCTTATGGAATTTAAATGAACCCATCTTCATTCAGTGTAGCTGAGGGATGGGGAAGAGAAACCTAGTGACCTAAAGGACTGAGCTGTCAGTGTAGCAGTTTCAAAGGCAAGATCTGGGAGCTCACTTCCTTTGCTTGCTGAGAGATTTCTCTATTTTCTTCGGAGTATCCAGGGCCCAAAATATCACTGTCTCAAAATGAAAGTACTGCAGTGTGCGTGTGTGTATTGGTGTGAGCGTTGAGGGTGGAGGTTTGCTGGGAGCAGTGATCCATTTCCTGCAGACAAAATAGAATGGGTTCCTTGATATTGTGAGCAGTGTCCCACATCAGGCTGCTTGTCACTGGGAGATTGTTCCTAATTTCCATGGCAGTAGAGAACACATAGAAAAACCATCATTTATCTTTTTTTTTTTTTTTAGATTTAAGAGTATCTATTAGAATCAAGAACCTCCAGTCAGAGCGGCATGGAGGGGGGCTTCCAGGAGGAAAACCCAAAGGGACTGGTGGTAGTCTGCTTTAAGTACAATTTCGAAGAAAAAAAAAACTTGACAATCAGATATCATCATATATCATTTTGAGAGCAGCTCTGTATCTTCCAGCTGACTTCGATTCCTTCTAGACCCCCTACCTCAAGCACCCTCAGATCCTGAACCAGTGTCCTGTCCCCTCCATCCCAGGGTTTCCTTCTCTGCCTGGGTTCTCAAAGACTCCAGCAGAGCCTCAGGGACAGCAAGCAGGATGAACTTGACTTTCCAAGTCTCTTGGAGACATACAGTTCAGAGTTCTGAATTACTCTGGTATCAAGATACATGATCATTTGTTTTGGTCTATGAGGGGATTCGGAAAGTCCCTGGACAAATGGAATTAAAAGATAATGCACAGGCCGGTGCTGTGGTGTAGTGGGTAAAGCCACCACCTGCAGGGCCAGCATCCCATATGGATGCTGGTTCGAGACCTGGCTGCTCCACTTCTGATCCAGCTGTCTACTTTGGCATGGGAAAGCAGTAGAAGATGGCCCCTGCATCTGCGTGGGAGACCCAGAGGAAGCCCTTGGCTCTTGGCTTTGGATCGGCGCAGCTCCAGCCATTGTAGTCATATGGGGAGTGAAACAGTGGATGGAAGACCTCTCTCTCTCTCTCTCTCTCTCTCTCTGCCTCTGCCTTTCAAATAAATAAATAAATCTTTTTTTTTTTTTTAAGATAATGCACATTTCCATGAACCTTTTGAAATGTCCTTGTATCTTTCTCATGTCCCCTTGGGTGTAAACTTTCTTTTCTTTTCTTTCTTTCTTTCTTTTTTTTTTAAAGGCAGAGTTAGAGAAGGGGAGAGAGAGAGAGAGAGAGAGAGAGAGAGATTTTCCATCTGCTGGCTCACTCCCCAAATTGCTGCAAGATCCGAGGCTGAGCCAGGCCAAAGCTGGGAACCTGGAGATTCTTCTGGGTCTCCTATGCAGGCACAGAGGCCCAAGCACTTGGGACCACTTACACTCTTTCTCAGGGACATCAGCAGGGAGCTGGATCAGAAGTGGAGCACCTGGGACCGGCGCCTATATGGGATACCAGTGCCGCAGGTAGAAGCTCAACCTGCTACACCACAGCAGCAGCCCTAGGAGTTAACTTTTTAATAGCTGACATCTGTAGGCAAAGTATGTAATTCAAAGGCTATTTCTTAAATATTGATAGGAGGATTTGTCAGCTTCCCAAAGTATGTGGGATCTTAGAAGAGTTCACAGAAAATGAGTGTCATGGAAGAACGAGGAATGGATTTGAAATGCTTTTGTTTTGGCACCCAAGTAGACTGATCTTTTAATCCCATTTTCCATGAACGTTTGGAAGTGCCTGTGTATTTCCCTTAGGAGGCTGGCAGCTTTAGAAGCCTCAATGCAGGCTGGCCTACTTGGTTGGTTCTGAGGGAAGCCCACCAAACTGTAGCCAGTAAGCCATGATGTAGACACTGGCCATCCAGTGTTTCACCCAGAGTGGGGGAAGATTCATGGAGCTGGCTGGGATGAGAGGACCTCAGGGGGACCATGAACTTGGCCAGCTCTGTTTTCCAGATCATTCGACAGATTCTGTCCCTGTTCTGCTCAAGGCCAAGTTTCAATCTGGCTGCACACACACACACACACACACACACAGAATTTCAGAAATGCGGACTCAGGCTCTTGGGTCTCCATGATTGTAAAGGAACTATTGAGCTAGATTCCATTATGCAAATGTTATTTGACCTGTGACTAAACTTCCAAATACAACAGGCTTTATTGGTGTCTTGAGATGAAAAGTACCCTGCTTTTCCCCAAATCCTAATATAGCCACTAAAATTTGACTGTGTGTCGTCAGTGTTCCCAGGGAGAAGTGACAGCCAGTGTCTCCTTCCTGTGTGTGGCTACTTCCTTCATGCTGAGCCAGCCTTCACCAACAGTGATACTTTATCACCAGAATTTTTAGATTAGAAGACTCCTGGGTCTCCTCATTATCCTGCTTTATTAAATTTCTTTTTCCCTTCGGTGAATCTCCAGATACCTCACACTGAATTTTACATATAGCAGACACACAATACATTTTGTTGGGAAAAAACAATAAAGAGACTGACCTTCTACATCCTATCCAACTACCACAGGAAGCCCAGGATGGAAAACATTGCTTTGTATAATACGTTAGCCCCTTTGTGATCTGTTCCGTATGATGTATCCTGAGCTGTCTGCCTCACCTTCCAGATCACCTCTGGGATTGAATGACAGGGCTCTTAGCTCTCACACCTGCTGTGCATCCCTGCAGCTCTGGGCTCTGCCGCTTCCCCTTCCCTGTCCTTCATCCCCTCCATCTCCTCTCCTGTTTGATCAGTTCTTGCTTTGTCTATACTCAGGTTGAGGGCCCTCCTCTGGGAGAGCTTTGGTTTAGGAAAGCACAGGGTTAGGGAAACTTAGCCTGTTGTTAACCTCCACAAAAACAATAATATCAGGGCTGGCATTGTGGTGTAGCAGGTAAAGCCTCACCTGTGTCGCCAGCATCCCATGTGGGCACTGGTTCAAGACTCGGCTGCTCCCCTTCTGATCCAGCTCTCTGCTGGGGAGAACAGAAGATGGTCCAAGTGCCTGGGCCCCTGCCACCCACATGGGAGATTTGGAAGAGACTCCACGCTCCTTGCTTTGGCCTGGCCCAGCCCTGGCCATTGAGGCAATCTGGAGAGTGAATCAGCAGATGGAGGATTTCTCTCTCTCTCTCTCTCTCTCTCTCTCTCTCTCTCTCTCTGTCTGTCTCTCCCTCTCTGTAATTCTGACTTTCAAATAAATTAATTAAAAAAATAATATCTGCACTACCAGGAACGAACTCTTCCATAGTGCTGTTGTGTTTCTGACATTGTTATAAGTACTTGAGCACATTCATTCATTTGATCTTCACATACATCCTCGTAAAGAGGAGCAGTCTTTACAGATGAAGAAAGCAAGGCACAGACGTCAAGTGGCTTGCCTCAGGCCCCACAGCAGGTCAACGGCGATCATCACAGCGCTCTCCCAGGCGGGGAAAGCTGTTTCCTTGGCTGGGACTTTCACCAAATGATGAGTTATCTGAGGCTAGTGATTGCTCAGTTCATGACTCTGTTCCTCAGGGCTTAACCCCGTGCTTGGCCCATCCACAACCAGTGTCTTATGGACTGGGGAGTTTATACAGAGTCTCGTTTTTGAAAGTCATTGGCTTTCTTTGCATTCATAACAAGCAGCAGGAATAATTGAGCGATATTCCTAAACCCCAGACCTACCAGAACCCAGACAGCCACTGCCTTGCATCTGACTACTTGCATCTGGCCGCCTCTTCAAACCTCAGAACACGAAACCTGGGAGCAAAATGGTTTGTAAGTTATGGAGCTCAGAGAGGAAGCACCATTCTTTAGAAACATCCATTTACAGCCGTTGGTCCTGTCCAGGCCACTAGTTTTCTCTGTTGTCCCCTTGCTAATATTGAACGAAGTATCAGACCAAAGGCTGCCTGTCTCCCGTCTTGTGAGCAAGAAGTGCTCCCTTACAATGGCTACCCAGGCCCACCCCTGAGACCCTGCCTTTGGGAGTGTCTGCAGCCTGCCCAGGATTCTACCTGCCTACCTACACACCTGCCCAAACACCTACCCACCTGTCTCTGTCTACCTCTTCTTTCTGCAGGTCATCACCCTGACAGAGAACAGAGTATTAACAATAAGGAGGTCTGGTTTCCTT